CACTTACCCTAGTATCCTACAGGCAGAAATCTACGCTATCGAGAGATGCGTACAACTTATCTTAGATAGGAACTATCGGAAACAAGAAATAGCCATCTTATCTGATAGTCAAGCAGCGTTAAAGGCGATCAACTCAGTCTCAATCAATTCGAAATTGGTCAAAGAATACATAGAGAAGCTGAATAAATTAGGCAAAGAAAACAAAGTCCTCCTACACTGGGTGCCTGCTCACCAAGGGATAAAAGGCAATGAAAAAGCAAATAATCTAGGTAGAAAAGGAGCGAACACTCCACTAACTGGACCAGAACCGTTCTGCTTTCCAAGTGGTAACCAACTCAAGGAGGAACTCAAGAACTTGGAAGATTCCATCCGCAACCTGGAATGGAAATCTTGCAATGGTCTAGGACACTCGAAGAAGTTTCTGAGGGCTTATGATCAATAAAAATCACAGATCTTCCTAGGTCTGAGTAAGAACAATCTTCGGATTGTCACGGGGTTTTAACAGGACACTGTCTCCTCAATGAACACCTCAGTAGATTGAAACTAAGAAGAAACGGCGAATGCAGATTCTGTGGGGAAGATGGGGAAACACCAGTACACCTCATCACTGAGTGCGCCGAGACGACAACCATTCGTGCCATGAATTTTGGTTCGACTGATATTGGAGATGGAGAACTACCCTCTATAAAACCGTCCCAGATACTGGCTTTTGTCAAAGGCCTGGGACTGTATGATGAGTTATGATTCAAGAAAGGGGGACACAATGGATCTGTAAGGTCGAAGTGATTAACCCCCCTCCCACTCATTCTAAATTCTAAATTCTACTATAAGTGCTACTTATTTTAATGCTAAAAAAGTATCGATAAATTCATCAAGGTGCATATGGGTTATCACTGGAATATTTTTCAAAAAAAAAACATGTGCACCGCTGACTTTTTCTCTTTTGACATCAAAATTGTGTAAGCCGTTTAATGCCAATTAAAAGTTATGTCTTGATATTTTGTCGAATTCGGCCTCCTTATTGAGATAAACGCAATTTTATTAATCACAATAAAATTAATAAAATTAATAAATTACACATTTTACCTAATTTATTATTAAAAATTATTGCTATTAGTTATTATTACTATTAGTCCAAAGTCCAACCTACAGCAATTTCAAATAAAAAAATAATGGTATTTAAGATACTTACAAAAACCCTAATTTTAAAAAGTTTTAACATCCAACATCCTGTAACTCTAAAAGATCGCGCACACTATACCTGCACGGACCGGCACGGACCAGACCAGTAAAATCTACCGGTGAAGGTGACCGTGTTATTTAATAGAGTAGAGCACACTAGACCAGTACCAGCACGTACCGCCACAAGCCACGACCGTCAAAACAGGTCGTGTCGGTCAGGGACAAATATGACCGGCAATATTTATGCCTGGTCGTGCTGGTCCGACCTAATGTGCGCACCGGCGAACCAGCACACCTCCACAAACATGCAAATTTTGAAGGGTTTGTCAGTATTTCGAGTACGCTAGCTGGCTCAAGTCGCATAATGTAGGTTAGATTTCGTTTATTTTTGTTCGAACCTTTAAACCGTTTTAAATATGAATGAAGAAAAGCTTATTTTACTGGTACAAAAGTATCCAGAGCTGTGCGATACGAGCCAAGTATTTCATATATAGAGACCAAGAAAGAAAAGATGCAATATGGGAGTCGATAGCAAAAAAAAATAATCAAATTTGATCTGTGACATTCGAAAATATTGGAAAAACTTTTCTTCGAATCTTTTTAATTCAGGAAACAAATGCTGAAATTCGCCATATTGCTTTCTCTTTTGATTTATAGGGCGAACCCAAAATCTTCTTTTTTTCTTAGCTTCCTTCTCTTCCTCCTCTTCTTCACACAACATGGCTAAAATAATAATTTCTTCCTCTGAACTACTCATTTTCAATACTTCTATGTTGCACGCTCTAGTAGTTGAGCCTTGACAACTGTACTTTTTTCGAAACTCTCGCTTATGTTGCTGGTCTGTGGCGGTAAAGTGTGCGATGTCATGCAGGATGCAGGTTTGTGCTGTGCTGGTCCGTACTGGCCCGTGTAGGTATAGTGTGCGCGATCTTTAAAACTATGCATTTCCATACTCATGTTTATAGGAACTTATTTAAAACTTTCGCAAGTTAATGGCTATTAAAATTTTTTAAAGGTTGTTTTTAGACTTGGATCAAGGCAAATTGATAAAGTCGCGTTTATCTCATCAAGGAGGCCTAAATCGACAAAAATATCAAGAGACAACTTTTAATCAGCATTAAACGGCTTCACTATTTCGATAACAGGAGAAAAACAGTGGCGTACATCCTTTTTTTAGAAAATATTCCAGTGATAACCCATATGAACGTCCCTGGTGAATATGTCGACACTTTTTAAGCTTTGAAATATGTCGCATTTATAGTAACTTTTACCCTCAAAATTTCATTCGAAACGGCTAAAAGTCCTTGGAAGAAAATTATAATAAATCGAAAAAATATTAATAATTTAACACCCTGTAGCTACGAAACAAAGCAGAATCGGTCCTATATGTTGATATAAAAAATAAATCTTATTTTTACGTGAGGAATACACAAATATTGTCAACTACTGTCCTTGCCGACGGAAACACAGCACCAAAAATGGAATGCGCGAAATTTCAAATTTTGCTCAAATAAATAGCAAATCTTGTATAATAGGTAAAATTATATTTAGTACTTAATTAAGTTAGTTAACTAAATATTGTTATCAATATTTTGTTTGTCCGACTAGACTAAATATCTAGATGCACTTACAAATTTAGAGTACATTATACACTCCCATAAAGAGATTAAAACATTTTTTGTGTGATACGAGATATACTCGTAACTACCTACTCCTTAAAAATTTCATTTTAAAATTCAGTGAGTGTAATTTGTTCCAGTGGGCCGATTTTGAGGATTTCTAAGCAATTTGTAGCTGAATTATTTATATGTATTTGTAGACTCTTTTACATTAATAATTATTGAAGTTCCCATGTGTCTATTAGGTAGGTACACGAGCGAAAAGAAAGTTTTACTTTGGCGAAAGTTTGAAACACCCTGTGGAATTGTTTAACAAAGTATTGAATTTAAAAACCACTTTATCATCAAAGTGCATCCTTTCTTGGTATTTTATTCATCTTAATAGCTTTTTTTGTTGGAAATATTCGGTTTTGAAGAAGACAGTAACAATATACAGCAATTTTAGCATTAGAATCATGTCTTAAGTCCTAATCAATATACCCATGAGATAGTATTTACTGAGTTTGTAATATCACTGGCCATTAAAAAGTATTATCATTGGTGGATATTCTTACAGACGTAGTTTTAAAGCGGGCCTGACACGATCAGTATTATTGACAGTATTTCTGAAACTGTAAGTATTTGGAAGGTTGTGTGAGGGCAAAAATACTGATGGGACTGTCAGTATACTGATATACTTTGGCAATCCTGAAAGTATTTTGGAATACTGACAACATCCAAAATACTGTCAATAATACTGATCGTGTGAGGCCCGCTTAAAGTCCACTAAGTACCATCTTCAATCAAAGCAACAATACAACTTCTGGTCCTAAAACACTATTTGCTAGAGAAGGTACCTACCCAACAAACAATAGTAATATGAGTTTTTAATGAAAGTGACATTATAAAAACCAAAAACCTATTTCATAGGTGTATTGATTATTACAGGACCAAAAGCAAAAGGCACGCTTTTAATGCTAAAATTGTTGTAAATCATTACTGTTTTCTTCAAAAGCAAATATATCCTACAAAAAATAAAGCTACTGAGGTGAAAAAACAAGCTATCGAGAAAGAAATACTGTACCTTGATTATACCGTGGTCGTTATAAATTCCTTACTTTGTTAAATCATTCCATAGCGTGTTTGAAACTTTCGCCAAAATAGCAAAATTTTGTTTTCTCTCGTGTAATAGACAGATTGGAACTTTAATTTTTAATTTAAAAAGAAAAATAATTTAGCTACAAACTACTATAAAAAATCGCCAAAACCGGCCAACTAAAACAAAATATATTGAGCTTGAAAATATCTACTTATAAGTAGGTACGTGCAAATTTTAAGATGCGCGTTTTTCCAGCCGGTCACTGTATGATAAATTGTATTGAAAAATAGTAAGCAGTATTTTTTAATGTCTAATATAATGTTTTAATATTATTTAAATCACTTAATTTTAAAACTAATGTCACCTCAAACAAACAAAAATTTAGAGTTATACACATAATACATTTCCTTAACAAATCTATAGCGAGGTAGAGTACCTATAAGTACTTATACCTATACCGTCTTACCGACGGAAGTCCAAAAAACATTTTAAGGATATGCACGGAATTATCTACATATTTTGATAATATCAATCTCGTATAGTAATTAAAATCGGTTACTTAAACTATGTTATCAAATATTCTACTTGCTTTTTTCTAGACTAAATAATATCTCTAACTTAAAAATATTAGCGATAGGTACACTCCCATCGAGACATAAAAAATATTTTTGTGGCGATAAATGAAACAGATCAAAGTGATTTTGTATAGATTATAGCCCGTACATTCCTAGATATCTCATCTTTAAGCGTTTTATCGAAATTTAATCATAAAATTACCTTTCACATCACTTTGACGAAAGTGGCCACAAACTTATCCATTTATCTCGAGCAAAACTGGCGCGCGCAAAAATTAAATCACTCCCCAACAAACTGCGATCTCATCTTCATTAAAACTTGGCAACAAAAACAAAAAAAGAAACTTTTTACTGTACGGTACATTTCTCAGAATCGAGATGCTGCTACACATCGTTGAATTAGAATTGTTAGTTCGCCGGTCAGACGACGGTGGCGTAATCGCGGTGGGCGTGCCCCACGCTCCCAAAGTTCCACGGAGTTTCCATAGCGCGCACCCAATCACCGCCGTTCCAAACTTGCGTTGCTATTAGTAACCGCTCGCCCGCGTCGCCCATTGGTCGGTACGTCGCTATGGCGATCACCCTCCCCTCACGACCCTGTGTTTGACTACCTAAAGCTCTTGGTACTTCACATCGGCTTGTAGTATCTAAGTAAACAGGCTGCGAGGAGTATTTGTTTTTCCAATCAGTGCAGGTTTGGAATACCTAAAGTGTTAACTTGTTTGTGAAACCGTTCGTGATGTAAACAATGAAACAAAACCTCCGACGACAAGTTAAGATCGAATTGATTGTTTCGAATAACGAGTGCGCGTAAAGACCCAGTTAAAGTGCGATTTTCCCTCGAAAATACCTTCTTCGGTGCAATAGTGGATAGTGCAAATGTTCTAAAAATGCTCGCGCAAAAGTTGTATCCCGACGTGACCAGCATGTCCACCTCGAGCAACGCTATGACGCCGATGACTCCAACGTACTCGATGAACTCCATGTCCTGCGTGCCCATGGCCTCCATGAATTGCTCGCCTCAAGCACCCATGTTCGGTTCCGGTATGCTCTCAGCGGATATGTCCAATAACATGACGATGAATCCGAGGATCCACCAAAGACAACAAGCTCTGAACGAGTCTCCACAACTTGGATACACCGCGATAGGATCTCCGATTTCTAACATGGCTTCTTGTATGGGAACGACCATGTCAGGGATGCCGAATTACTCGCAGATAGGTAGGGGTGATTTGGGAGGAGGCGATACGTCTCCAAACTCCGCGCTCCAGAGAGTTCGAAACGAAAAACCCTATCGCAGATCCTATACTCACGCCAAACCACCGTACTCTTATATCTCGCTAATCACGATGGCTATACAGAATAGTCCGCAGAAAATGCTAACTTTATCGGAAATCTACCAGTTTATCATGGATTTGTTCCCGTTCTACAGGCAGAATCAACAACGGTGGCAGAACTCAATCAGACATTCTCTATCGTTTAATGACTGTTTTGTGAAAGTTCCGCGGACTCCGGACAAACCCGGGAAAGGTTCGTTCTGGAGTTTACACCCGGACTCAGGAAACATGTTCGAAAACGGTTGTTATTTGCGCCGGCAGAAACGGTTCAAAGACGAGAAGAAGGAACTGATCAGGCAGTCCCACAAGAGCCCGTCGCACAGCATGGACAACAGTAATAGTTCAGGGAAAAAGACACCTTTACATTCCAGCGAGGATAAATCTCACAACACATTGGAAAAGACCGAAAACAACTTGAGCTCGATGATGAACATCCACCCCAGCAAACTCGACGTCGAACAAATGAATCTTCTCAACGCCAACGAGTTGAACATGCACCAGCAACACCATCAAGGTATGTCTCACGAGGAATTATCTGCCATGATCAACCGAAACAACCACTTGGCGTTAAGTGAGCACCAGGCGATGCTCCAGCATCATGGTTCAATGAACCACCATCTCAAACAGGAACCGGCGGGTTATACGCCTTCGAACCACCCGTTCTCCATTACCAGGCTACTTCCCACAGAAAGTAAGTCAGATATAAAGATGTACGCGGATATGCAGTATGCGGGGTACAACACCCTGAACCCGTTACCCAACGCTATCCATCACACGTCACTGGGGAACGATTATTACAACAGCCCATCGCTCTACCATACGTCTGCTGGTACGACGAGTTTGTGACAGTACCCTCTGGCCTAGAAACAATTTAGTTTGTGACCTCGAATAAATTGATGTAAATAATTTTCTCTGTGCTGTAAATAAAAGACATCGGTGATACACGACGCTATTGAGAATTTGCTGCGAAAAATCATCAAATCAAAGATATCTACATAGATCTATAATAATAAAAATGACTTTTTGCAGTAAATAGTACATGTGCAAACGCAAAATTTTAGTGCCACGCGTGATATTGTTTTAAAATGTCGTGTGCGTGATTCAGACAGTACTCTACCGATTACGAAAAATCTCACCAAGAGTTTGATCTGTTTTGGTTTTAGTCGAAGTACAAATTATGTGAACAGTTTTTTGAAAATAATCCCTTTTTTATAATTTACCATTCCAAAGTATTTCTTAAATTATTTTTAAATGCTTTAACATGATGTGGAAAAGACGGTTTTAAAGTTTTTTGGAGTATTTGTTTTGTCTGTTTTCTTTTTATATATATACAAATATAGCTCTTTATGTACGGTAAAACTGTATAAATTGTAAACTAATTGTAAAGATGTAAATTTATATTCAAATATTATGTGATGTTCTTAATATACTTGGAATTTGTATAAGTATATTAAATCGATATGAATATGTGCAACTTTTAAAAATTGAAAAAATAAGAAGATATATAATTTATGTATATTAATTTTTTGTCATAATAAATGTTCTACAAAGTGAAATTGTTGTTTTGGTATTTATTAATCTTACAGAGTTTTTTCTTCATTTTTGGCATTTCTAGTTTTGTTAGTGTTTTAAAAAGATAAATATTTGAAATATTACTGTAGTACAAACAAAAAGTGGATAATGAATTTATATTTAAAAATTACTAGAAAAATCGTTAAGTTTAAAGAAAAGTAAAATATAATAAATAATATATTAAATTTCTTATCAAATTTGGTTATCGTTTTTTTTTATTATTTCAAATAGCTTGTGGAGTTTCAAATATCCATATTCTTATTTTAATTTTTTTTCAAATGATTTTACTATAATTTTTATTTTCATTTTTATTTATTTTTTAACTTGAATTTTATTTCCATTTTTATCATTTCAGTTGGAGTAAATAATATCAATATCCTTATTATAAAAATCATACAAATCATTTTTATTATAATTTATTGATTTCTTTTTTAATTTGAAATTTGATTTTCACTAAGATGATCATTAATTTTTGTTTATTTTAAATTTATGTTTACAAGATTAGTAAAATTTTCTTGGAGCATTTTTGTGAATATGTTTTTATTTTTTCTTCGAAATTATTACATTATTAGCATCAGTGTATACTGAAGAAATATTCCTAAAGTATTTTTGTTATAAATGGTGAACAATAGTATTGAACAAAACCATCCATTAAAAAAATTAGTTAAACTAAATTTTAACTAATTTAGAAATTTTTACTTGATATAGATATAGGTTACGGTTAAGGTCCGATGTCCGGTTAATGTCGATATTATCCGGTTAATCTCGAGAATAACACACAACAAAACAACCAAAAACATAGCCTAACCCAAACATTAACATGTTAAACGTTAATGTCGACATTAACCGGATATCGGACTTTAACCGTAACATATATATTGATAACATACTTATGATTAGTAAATATTTTTATTTTTTATTGCATTAAATTTTACATAAGAATATTTTTGGGGAAAATTCTATGTAACTGAAATAATTTTAACTGAATAAAATAAAAACAACCTAATAAAGAAAGAATCAACGCAAACATAAAATTTTATTATTATAATTAAATCAAAATACCTATCAAATAGACTCTAAAAAATTTAATACAATTGTTGTCTCTCTTATACCTACATATATTATTTTTTTTATTAAGTAGATACTTCTTACTGCTATATTTAGGATATTCCTAGCCTAGAAAATAGCGCAGAAAAAAGCAACTATTTTTAAGCTTTAATTTTTTTACTGCAATTTCACAAAATTGAAAATATTTAAAAAACGGTAAGGTTTAAGTGATAAACCTTAATCAAATTTACCTTTATTTTAATCGTAAAAACTAAAAATGTAATAATATACAGGGTCTTCCATTTAACAAAATACAACTTTGATATTTTTTATTTATTTGGGATACTTTCTATCTTGTAAAATTATTTTTAAATTGTAACTCTCATAGTCCTTCAACGAACCCAAAACTTACAATTTGTAAAAATCTTATCGTTTAGCTACAATACTCCGTGTCATATGTGGAGAACAACGAACAGCCCTGTATATTATTCATAGATAGGCTTTAGGTATAGTATATTAATAAGACACTCATTATGATGACACATTAACTAATTCTTTGAGAAATTATATGAAATTCTATTATCCCTGAGAATTTCAAAACCAGCTTGATCAGAAAACTTTCTGATCGTAGATATTATAGTAGATTTTTTGAAGTGTCGGTATACCACATACCACTGTCAATTTCTAATGCTATTTCAACAGCAGAATCGGGAAATATGACCAAAACATTCCATAATTTCATCATATAAAATATGTAGGTAGTATTAGTCATTTTACATTATGGTGAGAACACAGAAATACATTTTTTTAGATAAAAGGGGGTTATAAAAAAATACACTGTTAAAGGTAAAAACGGTTTATTACATTGTAAACTATAGATAAGTTAAAATAAATATATGATACAATTTTCTTATATTATTGCAGTTATGTCGTTACTTTTAGCGTTTCAAAAGATGATTTAAAAAAAACGCCAAATATGATGTTATGTCCAAACGATCTATATCCACAAATTATTGACTCGTAGTTTTCGGACAACAATTTTCTACACTTTAGTGATGGGCAAAACTGTTATTTTTAGATAACAGTTGAAACTGTTATAGTTATTTATAAAAACAGCTCAAAATAACAGCTTAAAAACAACAGGTTTCTTTATTTTATTGCTAAATATCTGAAAGAGTATGGAGGTGGTCACCGCCAGGCGTATTAACGCAGTTGCAAGTTGCAACAATGACGTGCTCGGTGGTAGTATTTCCAGGGTGTCAAAACATTTCTAAATATCGATTGTTATCTAAAATACCTCTCTAAAATCGGTGGTTGTTTACAAATAAGCGCTGTTTACAAATTGCGATATAAAAAAGCCAAAATGTCGCCACTCGTCTATACCTATTACATTTCGATCTACCAACGCCCGCGCCCTGCCCCTGGATCCGCCTGAATTGCGTAGCAGTGTACAGGGTGCATCTCACTCGACGGGCGAGAAGCTCTTAGTTATGATTTTACCATTTGCGGTCAAAAAATAGAAATAGAAGAAAATGTGTAGTATATTCTTTATAAGTAAACCAACTACACACTAGAGTTCGAATTAATTTTACACATAAATTTTTACGAACAGTCGATCTCTACGGGTCGTTATTTTATACGTGTTATTTTTTAGAAGTAGTAACGGTTGCGTTATGTTATTTCTAAATAATTGTTATAAAATAACAGATAGGTAAATAACAACCCATCACTACTACACTTAGATGTTAAAGAAATTTTGATTATAATATTCACCAAATAATGAGGAAAAAAAATAAACAATCTTTTTCAGCTTATTCGTCCATTCCCAATTATGGTGTAGCCTCCCTCACATATTTATGATAGTCTCTTTGTAGTTGGACACATTGTTGTCTATTGTTGACTATGCGGGCCTAAGTTATTCCTTTTTAAAAAGGTCTTATTAAATTTATATCTCCGAAATTAAACTTCCAAGAAAAGTCGTAATATATCTACAAATTCATTTACCCACTAGTAGATATAACCCAAGCAGCATTTGGACGTCGGGACAACGTTGTGTCACGCAACCAAACGTCGGGGCGCAACGTCGGCACAACCTCGTGCCAACCCTAGTCTGCACTAGTTTGGAGAATAATTTTTGGGTTGAAACGACGTTGGATACCGACGTTGGCTAGAAGCCTAATTTAGTACAAACTGCAACGTTGTTTAAAATCCTAACTCACAGAAATACAAAACTAATATGGCGTCTAAGTCGCGTTTTATCCTAAATTGGGATAATTATAGTAAAAATATTATTTTTATGATTTAGTTAGAGATATATGTGCAGTGAAGGAAAACAAAACAAAAGTATTTAAGTGTGGAGGATGTTGGAAGATCATAATTATTGAAACATTTTAACCGACTCTGTAAATCGTTACCCAAGGCAAAAAAGTTAAACGCAAACAACTTTATTGATAAATGTATTGTTTCTACTTTGAAAAATACTAACGGGCCTTAAAATTAAAGAAGTTTTAAAAATTTTCTCGAATTTTTTTTTTTAGTAAAATGAGATAATTTATTCGCAGTCGAAAAAATTGTTTCCGCGTGTTTTTTAGGGTGAAATATTTCAAGTTAATGTATTCAAAAAGCAGGAATTGCTATTTTAGGAACGAAACATTTTCTTATTTAACAACATGGCGGCTTTCACTTTGTTGTTTAGAGATTAAGATGGAGTAATTCGAGTAGTCGCATACTGGACTAATAAAGTCGCAGTTCGGCCTTAACAGGTAGTATACTAGTCGCAAGATTGCCTAATTTAGTCATCCTAGAGTCTAGCTTGTGCCGCCCTCTATAATCTAAATAAACGAGGGAGTGGATAAACTATCGGTAATATATGCCGATGTATATTTAAATTTAGTTTTATATGTACCTTTCTTATGTCCCATTTTAAATAAGTTTTTTTTATAAAAACAAAAACAGCACTGAACTGTCTGACTGAACAGAACAATGAAGTGAAAATTTAAGATTTAAGGTTATGGTTCAATACAGTTGCAAAAAGGTAGTGCCTCGACGTCCTACCAACGTAAGAATAAGGAAATCTAAACAACGTTGGAATAAGTAAAACAGACGACGTTTGCATAACGTTGGAATAGGTCCTGAAACTGACGTCGGAAAACTCTATATTATCCAACGTTGTAACTACGTTGTCCGAATACCTAAAAGATCACTTAAGCAAAAAAGGTTACAAGACAACGTTTATTCGACGTCGCAGAAGCTTCTACTTTGCTGTAGTACTAGTCCAACGTCGGCACAACGTTATAAAAACGTTTAAATTTATTTTAATAGCCAAGGTAGGGAGCTAACTATTTTTTGTAACTAATCCAACG